AGATTCCAGTATCCCTGTGCTCTAAAACATCAAGCATAATGTATAGTTCCCCCTTCCACTTTCCATAAGCAAGGCAGCAAAAGATATCTCTGCAAATCAAATCCTTGCGCAAACTGACCTTGTCCAAATGGTAGAACCCAGTTGTCTGTCTGGAGAAAGCAGGGCCATTTATTAGGTTGCCCATTCTCTTTTAAAATGTTTCTACCCCTACATCAAGTTTATTTTCTCTCATGATCAAAGGAAGTTTGAAACTCAACTCTAAGCATCTTTCCAATATACATTCCTTTGAATGGCATTAAAAATATATCTATTGGACAAAGGACAAAATATGTTCACTGAAGAAGAATGGATTTTGTGGATGGAAAATGATACGTGACACATTACCTCACCATTTTCAGGTTGTATTTCAGCAATTATGTCCTTAGCAAGATCTTCACGGTTGCCTATCACCCATTCACTGCAAGTTATAATAATAGCAGCGACAGTTGCCACGGTTTTACTAGCAGAAAAAAAATATTTGAAAATTTTCCAATGATCTCGATTCGATTCCAATATAAAATTTGGCGAACATGCACAAGTGATGTAGGAGCAATCAATGGATGATTTCAAGATATAAAAATCAGAAAAGCATTCAGATTAGTTAGCACCCCAAATATCCATGCACTGAAATTACTAGAACAAAATCTTTTTGGGACTTTTCATATGAAGTTTGAAAAAGAAAAATACCTTGTGCAATATATTTGAGTGTGAGGGCGAAGAAATTCTGGAACTTTAAGAAAAGCCTCAAAGTTGTTATCAGCCAGGGGCGAATCACTTGGGCCTGAATTAAGAGAACCCACGTGAGCACATCTCATCAATGTTCTAGTAAGTAAAACGCTTCCACTAAAGTAATAAAATAAGTGACAGAAGAAGTTTTGCTCATAAAATTGAGCAAACACAAGTGCTATCAAATTTGTACAATTATCACAATGAAAAATAGAGAGACAAAAAATTACTATAGTCTATATGCTGAAGAAGAGCAAAAATATCAAGATATGTTTTCTTATCGAGAATATCAGGATGCATTATCTTATGCTTTTTTAAGAAGATAATCAGGCTATTTTAAGAAGATAATCAGGCTATAAGTTTTTGGCCTCTACTTTAGAACAAATATGAATTCGTCCCAGTCCAGCACAAACATATACATCTATAAAAAGGATAAAAACAAAGTATGTGTCTAGTAAGCTCAAGATGGCCAATAACTACCACAGAGTACAGAAAAATTGCCAAATGGAATTTTCAAATGTAGGTATCAGCGTTAAATGCAACATGAGACAAATATTAGCAAACTGCGTGACAGTTATAGTTTGACTGAATGATTCAAAGTCCAAATGTCCATTATGTCTTCTCATGCTCCACTAGTCAAGGGGACAAGAAATATGGTCCTCTATGTTGATTCGGACAACTTTGGAGTGAGAAACAACTTTTGAAGGCAGGTGATTATGTTATGGAATTTGGATAAAGAGTAACAATGTCATGATTCAGAGGCATTATAGAATCATCTCAAGCACCAGTTTCTTTGAGTACCCTTTAAATTGTCAAAGTAGAAGTTCAACCTCCAGTTCAGATATAAGTATATAGAAGAACTTGATAAGTTTTTAAATGAAGGTAATAAAATTTTATGCTCACCACTATAGTAAGTTGTCATAATACGGGCATCTGGTGCGTAAGCATGAATTTCACTTGCCATGCTACGAATAGCCTCATAATGTTGAAGGTTCAGCGGCTGGACACAACAACCAAGATGAAGAAACATAAATAAGTCATGAAGAAAAGTGACATGATATACAAACACACACAATTCTGAGAGTGAAAACCTTCGCTACTATATGCACACAATGCTTAGTGCAGAGCATAAGAACTAATAGTAAGAAGAAAGAAAAGTTTGGAGTGCCATTGAAGATGCTTTCATTTGTAATATTTTAATAACTATTTTTTATAACATTAACTGATGTAACATGAAGAGTAATAATTAAAGATGATGTGACAGGGAAATAGTAAAATGGTGATTTGTAGTTAGAAATGTGGTGAGTGGATAAATATATTTTTGTACGAATAATTAGTAATTCATTTTTATTTTAAAAATTGTATTGATGAATTGAGGAGAGAAAAGATAAGATGGGTGAATAGTGCATTTTTTCTCTAGAGGATAAAAGATCCCCGCTCGCCTAATATCCGATAGCACTGTTGGCATCAACATTTTTTATTAACTCAGTAATTAAAATATGAAAAATATAGAACAAACGGAAATAGGTCAAGTTCGACAGTTTTCCTAATGAATGATTAGCTCTTCCATTTAGAGGATGCTCAGCTTTCTTAATAACTGATGAAGGAACATTTCAAATTGGTTTCCCCAATATTTTTTTCCTTTAAGAACAGAACTAATATCATGACTATCACCTACTCATTCTTTGAATTTCATATCTTTTCTTTTCTTTCATCTATAATTATTTATAGTTTATATACATCATTCAGGAATACTTTCACAGAAACATTTTTCAAAGAAAAATACATATATATCGACACATCAACTCCAGTTATCGAGACAAAAATTTTGCAGCCATTTAAGATGCTGAAAGGTACAGTTGAGCAGATAACTTGTCGTCTCCTGTTCTCACCTCATCCCACAAATAAAAGTAAGCTTTTCTCCAATGACTTTTTGTTCTTAGTATATCAACTTCCCTTTGCAGAAAGTCCTTTGTTGAGTCGCTACTAACAGGAAAATATAGAACAAAATCAATCAGGTAACAAAAGATGAGATAGCATTAGCAGGACTGAAATTTCACTTTACCATGGGACCACAGGACTATATGGTACAGCATATGCTGCGAGCCTGGGATCAGAAAAATACTCATCTGATTTTGGATGATCAGCTGCACCAAAATGTATACAAATGCTATTTCATATAATGAAAATGGACTATTACACTCGACAAAGAAACTTCATAGGGTAGATAAATCTATTTCTTATGCAGTTAAACCACCCAAGTGAATGAATGCACTAGAACGTCACTATGCAATTGTGAGATACCTGGCCATGGAGAGGTGTAAGTGAGAACCCGCATGTTTTCACGCCACCTACAGAAGAATGGGCTGATTTTATACTGAAGCAACCACTTAAAATGCTTATCCAGTGCCTCGTACCAGTTGCTACTTCCATGCTCCACACCAAATCGGTCTTCAATTACTGTATCAGATACCTATTTGAATTTTAAGGAAGTTCATTCTCGTCTAGATTTCACATACATTGTAAATATAATGCAGTACCAATTCACAGAAAGAAATAAAACGAAATACTACCAAAAATAATAATTGAACTGAAGGATTCCCACTGATAAATCATACAAAGGACCGAAAGGATGAAAATTCGGTAGATCAAATAGAGGACGTCATGAAATAGGTAGCAGAAGGGCAACTCCAAAAAATAAATATAACTTTTACAGGAAGCAAATGATTGATTCCAGGATACACCAATAACAGCAGGAAGAGAAGGCGTAGCAGGAACAATAAAATCCCACACTGTTAAAGTTATCTTTACACGGATTGAAAGGTTCGATATGGCATCCTCATCCATCATATCTACTGAGCCATTGTCCGAATTCAAGTCAGAAAACAATGGAGACTGAAGCATTCTTCTCAAAGATGAAGACCCGGATTGCACTCTTTCCACCTGGATAAGATGAAAAAAGGAAACACAATAAGATCCATTAAAACGTTCAAGAATCAACCAGCATGACACATGATCATGTCAAAGTTACCAAAAGCCCCACCACTTCATGTAATGGTTTCCCATCGATGGGCTCCACAACATCAAGAAAACTCCTTAATTCTTGGTAAAGTTGAGTCCTCTCAGCTTTACGCAGGCATTGTGATGTAGATCTGTGGTACAACAGAATGAGAAATTCAGATGAAAAACACTTTAATTATTCAGCATACAATAATCTTTGGTAAACATCAGAAATCAAGTGACAAATACTCCCCACAAGCTTCAAATTTAACCGAACAACAAAGATAAACCATCTCACTCTGCATCGGGTCTGGTAGCTGTAAATATGAGCTCTCCTTCATATTGCCCAGGAGCCTGTGTGGTTGGGACATCAATTGAAACCCAAATTGCCATTGTTTCTCTGAGAGAAATAAAATAAATAATAACAAAATACGATGATGACATCCACTTGATAAGAAACACTTGATTTAAGATGGAAGGCATAAGTACCCAGGGAGAAGGGTCAGTTGAGAATTGGGGACTTCAAGAGGCACAAGAGCATCAGGCACCCCCAAAATAGGCACCACTCGCCTCACCTTTAATGATTCACCAACTAACAATCTGCATACACTCAAAGAGTGGGGAAATCAGCGTCATCATTTTCTTACTCCACACTACAAGAGAATCAAAATTCAAAGATTTGAAAGACTGACCTATCACCGGAAGTCGTGCACAGATCAGTACATTGCATCTGCACAGTTCCAGCTATACTTGACCCAGCCCAGGAAACTTTTGGACGTATAGCTATCTGGACACTTTCCCTCTCATTTCTAGCAGCTAACAGAGAAATCTTCAAGAAAAATAATATCAAACAGGAGGCACTACATATTGTCTAACTATATATTATAATTCAACAATTGTAATATCCAACACGATACGCTTAGAGCTAGAGACCAAAGTTTGTATCCAAACTTACGGGCTCAAGTGCATGAGGTAAATCCTGTGGCCCAACATTTGCCGTGCTTGGCATGCACCAGACGTGCATTAGCTCGGATGAGTGAACTTTGAGGGGATCAATCGAACCCGTCAGTACAGATCGATCCTGAATGCCAGTTTCACTCCACCCGTAAGCGGTCCCACCTCCCGCCACACCCTCAACCGGTACCATTGCATCTGGATGGCTTCCTGCATAAACCAAAACCATGTAACTCTACTCTTCAGCTATGAGCCATCATTCAAAAACAATTTGAAGAAATGCAAGTCTCTATAAGGAGAAGGAACACAATGCATAGCGTTCGGTTAACTTTCATCATTACAATCAGATAACTATTCCCAGACAAAAAATCTGTATAACCAGTGAATATCAAGTAAAGCATCTCAATAAACAACGAATGTCATCCCTTTTTCCTAGAAAACCCGAATAATCGAGCCCACTAAAAGGTTCCCAATTTGCCATTAAAAGACAATAAAACAAAGTACCCATTAAACTTCATGATGAGTGCGTAGGGGGAAATAAAAGGAAATTATACAGAACAGGACTAACCAGAATTCTCCATAGACGGGGATCGCTTTCAATCACGATATCTTCGCTGTCTGTGTCTTTGAGTCAAGCAGATTTCCTTATCAGGTGAATGAAAAAGCAAACTTGCTAAAATGATCAGGAATTGATTGCTTTTTGCGTTTTCAAGTTTTTATACTTAGATGAAGTGAGAAATGAATCATGAACAGTGCGCGACAGTGAGAATGGATAACTGTGCAAAAGGAGTTGCTATCGACACTCCAATTGTTACTACTACCACTCCTAAAGTTAGAAGAAGCCATTGGACGACAGATATTGGTTGATGGGAAATTGATCCAATGGCTTTATTATTCCGGCTGTTCTCCGTGTACGGGAAATAATTTTTTAATTAGTTTTATAATCTAAAGATTTATACAAACATAAAGCTCAAGTATATGACCTCTAATAATAATTAATTAAATTAAAAATATTATGTGATACATAAATAAGTGATGTGATAAGTAAGTAATAATTAATTAAATTAAATATTATGTAATAAATAATGAAAAATTACTATTGTACTTAATTAATAAAAAAATAAAGGTCAGTTTCCATCATTAAATTAAAAAAAGGGGAAATTTTCTTTAATTTTTTTTGTCTCTTTTTACGTAATAAGAATTAGAAAAAAAAATTATAAATAATTTTGCTTCATTAATTCAACAAATGAAATAATTTAGAGATAGTGATAGAGTGACAAAATTATGTGAGATCATATCATAGAATGCACGTTACAAATTACAATTGTAAAATGGAGAGATAATAAGTAAAAAAAATAAAAAATTACAAATTTGGTAAAAGTTGCAGTAATAAAGAAGAAAATATTAATTTTAGTGTATTGTAACTGAAAATGACAAAAAGATGAAATATTTTTATTAATCATGCTCCTCAGGTAAGATGAACATTTTAAAAAAGTTAAAGCTCAACTCTTAAGCTTTCTTATGTGACTTTTTAAACAAGTCTGTTAGAAAGTTTTATTCCAATTGATTTATCAACTAATTTTATCGAATACTTTTAGATTATGTTTGGTAAACATAGTTGATAAGATAGTTGATAGCTGAAAAGTTAGATGACAGCTTATAAGTGAATTTTGAGTTTATAATTCATATCTTATGTCTGGCGGTTGAAAAAGATGATAGTTGACATGATAAAAATGTTTGGAAAAAACGACTGACAAATCACTTGAAACAAAAAATTAAATGAGCTTATTTGAAATTATACACAATGAAGCTTATGAGATAAGCTCGAACTTCTTAAACAAATTCGTTATACCAAATAAGCTTATTTGCATACAGAAAACGTATAAAATAACTAAATAAGCTACAAGTTAATTTATTGTGCTTATCAAACACACTCTTGTTATATCAACTATCTTTCCGTCCATTAACTATAAGATCAAAATTCACTTATAATCAGATATCAACTAGATTTTCATTTAAATTTACCGAACATAGTTTAAGCAACCATTGACAGAAATACTAACAAATCTATATTTTTTTACGAGTTTTTGTTTATTTTTAATATTTTTTTTTAACAAGAGACTAGGGTTATTTATCGTTCAATTCGATTGAATCGACTAACCGTAATGTCCAAACAGAAATAACCAAGTCGAAGTTTTGAGAAAACCGAACCAACAGATTTTTGTTCGAAATCGAAATAAAATTGGACCGAAATAATCAGTTTATTCGGTCGATTAACTGAATTAATATTTAATATTTTTATTTAATATTTTATATTTTTTTACTAAAAAATATGTACATAAAATATTTACTATATAGTTCGGACAGTTTAATTCTTTTAAAAATAAAATTGAATAAACCAAAATTATAAAATAAAAAACAACGATCGAACCAACGTATAAAACCTCAAACTAGTTTTTATTTAATTTTTTTCGATCGGTTTTTTGGGTTGTTCCCATCCCTCCTTTTATCGATACCTAAGCATGAACAAATGTGTAAAGGAGTAAAGTAAAGGGGGTGTTTATTTAAAAGGGATGGTCAAAGCATGTTATTATTTAAATGACCCTTTCAACTTTTTTTTTGTTCAAATAACCCATTCATTACATAAAGATAAATATATAATGAAAATGCCTAAAATAACCTTATCAACATATTAAAAAAAAAAAAAAAAAAAAAAA